AGCCCTCCCAGCACAATGATAGCCAACAGCTATGGTTGTGAGCTTGAACCTATGGTCTGAACACGTGGCCCACGTGCCTGAGTGATGTGGGCTTGATAGAGTTCAGGTGCATGTAGTTGAGTAGGCTCGAAACCCACGAGAATGTTGTAAACAGCTTGGCCACGCCCTTACTTTGCCTCGCGGAATCTGGCTATAAAACAAAGACACGGCTTGTAGTCCGTGGCGCTGTCTCTCCATCAGAGAGGACAGCGTCCCACCCAGACCCAGCTTTTATTCTCTTGTCTGTCTTTTCTAATCCTTCACTGCCCCCCTCTCAGGGTCACCCTTGGCCGTGCTGGCGCGGCACAGACTACCCCACCCAGGTGTGCTGATTCTAAAGCTGGAGGGAAAGGCCAGGCACTCAGGTGTTCAGCTTGGGCTGTCCTGGGCAACCCCTGGGGGCAGAGGCCACAGCGGGAAGGGCTTGAGCTGAAGGTGATTAAGGGGAAAATAAGTCCGTCCTGTGGAAGGAGTAGCAATCCCTCACATCAGCGAATCTCAAACTCTTACATGAGGAATCCTGGGGGTCATTCAAGCCAAAGATTCTTAATCCTTTGGGGATCGTAGATTCTCTGAGGAGCAGATGAAAGCTCTGACTCTTCCCAGAAAGTGCTTCTCCTCCAAATTTTACATAGTTTCAAGGGGTTCACGAGCTTCCTAAAGCTTGCCTGCAAGCCCAAGGTTAAGAATTCTTAATAACAACAAGTATTATTGCCCCATTTTAATGCAACTCCCCATTTCAACCTATTCTAGTCCAATTCTGCCCGTCTAAAAAGAAGGAAATGAAAGTCCCTCCAGAGAACAGCTCTCTGCCCAAAATCGAAGAACAAAAAATAGGGCAGACTGGGAAGAGGACCAGACTCTCTCAGCGTGCTGGACACTGTGCCCCGGGCAGGTTTAAGTCATCGGGCCATCCCTCAGTCCCCGGGCTCCTGAGAGCCCCGTGCCCACCCGCATTCAGGCGGTTCTCCTACCAAGAGGCACTCCAGTAGTTGTATTTTGACTTCCGGTCAAATAGGGGGTTCTTTTGAGAGTGTGACTGCCATTTATCCTCTCGTGGCACCTTGACCCTTGTTATTTCAGCCTCTGCATCTGAGATGGGACGATGTTCCTCTTCCAGGAGAAGCTGGTCGGCGGTTCCTGCCCTGTCGCTGAGCCACTGCAGTAGGAGTTGTTGGCACCGAGACAATGACTCAGACTTCGTGTATGAAAGCCTTCTCTGAAACACGTCCAGAAAGGACATCCAGAGGTCATGGCATCCAGCCCCCTGGCCTCCTCCATATTTGCCCCACCTCAGGCTTCTGGCGCCGAGACCAGATGGGCCCAGGACCCACCAACTTTCCTGGCTTGCCTTGGTCACTGGTACCACCGATTCCCCCGGGAATTCTTCCTCTTGTCTCATCAGAATCCTTTTCTGGGTTGACTCCCCCATGAAATAACAGGCTCCAAATGACTCAGGAAAGTGAGGGCAACGAAGCCGTTTCTTCTCTCTGCCTTGGGAAAAGCACTGGGAAGGAACAAATATCCCAAAAGAAAGGAGGCAAAGAAGAAAATTAATTTTCCCTGCTTGTCTTCCCTGGGCAAACTCATTCATTCATTCTCCCAACACTGCACTATGTCCATTTTGTTGATGAAGAAATCAAGGCTCAAAGGGTTTAGTTACTCACCCAGGGTCACAGTTAATTAGTGACTATACAGGCACTGGATTCTAAGGAACCCCGAGTTTCTGCTATGTGGGAGAAACAGGGGTACCTCCCCCAGGAGGTCTCTAAATGCAGAAGGCCTTGTTTGCTCTAGTCCAGGATAGATGGGGGAGAGGAGGCTGACAACTCTATACCAGGGTGCTCCAAGCATTTCTACATCTCAGTTGGCCAGGGAGGGGATTTTGGGGTGCCCTCAGCTGGGCAAGAGGGAGGAGGGCAGCCCTCTGAGGAGATTGGGAGAAGGCTGGTCATGAGTGGGTCTTTGGGGAGACTGGTTTAAGGACTGGGGCCAGGTTCTATTGAAGCTCCTTTTAGGAAAGCTAGCTCTCAGCGTCTATGGCTACAGTGGGTGGATCTGGAGGGGAGGGGACTAAGCCCCCACAATCACGAACCCTCACGTCTGCCCTTGTCCTACTTCTGTCACTGGCAAGTGAATCTCTATTCTTGGACACAGTAACCTGAGCGGTCCTCCAATGGTGAGCTCATCCTTGGGAGGAGGGAGATCGCATGGATGGCTATGTGCATGGGCAGACACAGGGTTCAGCCCCTCCTCCAGGGCTGGCATAAAGGCAGGCCCTCCTTGAGTTCCCCCCTCCCCATCCTATCACCCACAGCAGATGAGGAGGAAGGAGGCTTAGACCCAGAAGTCTCTCCACCCCCACCCAGGAAAGAGTCTCTCAACTCCCAACTTATCTCCCTTTCCTTGGACAGGCCAAGAGATGAAGCTAGACCTTTTGGTCAGGACGGGAGGTGAGGGAGGAGGACTTGGGGAAATAGAAGGTAAACACACACACACACACACACACACACACACACACACACATGCATTAGAAGAGATACCTTCAGACAAGTGGGCAAGAACCCTCTTGCCCCTCCTCCGTTCCCTACCCCCTGATCTAACTCCGTCTGTGGCAGGTTCCACAGGAGGGGGCCTGTCCTGGAGAAGGTTAGAGGACCTCAGGTGCTGGGACTGAGACCACTGCTCTCTTTTCTGCTGAAGTCCAGACAAGACTGGAAAGTGACACAATGTCCAGCTTTTCATCCACAAAAAAGCAGTTTGTCAGGCCTGGCCTTTGACACATGGTGTTAAGTTGTCCCTTCTCTGCTTGAGGAAATCACCACCTCTCAGCCCAGGGGGGTGCGTGTGTTTTGAGAGCGTCTCTCCAGGGCAGAGAGACACCCCGGTACTGAATGGGGCAGAGGCTCCCCCTTCTTCCCCCACCTCTACCAGGAAGCCCTCATTTGGATTCCACTCTCGGCCATCCTTCTGCAGATGTAACCTACCTCTATTCCCCACCCCACCCCGCCCCCAGCCTCATCCAGACTCTAATATGACCTCTGGAGCCATCCCTCAACCTTGTCACGCCACCCATTCCAGGTTTTTCAATGTAAAACGGCCCCCTCCACGTCGCTCCCTTCCAATGTAAAACCGCCCCCTCCACGTCGCTCCCTTCCAAGCCCCGCCCCCTCTTGTCGAGCCCTCCCAGGCCCCGCCCCCTTCGCCCGCGGTAGCCAATCGCCGAGAAGCGGATTTGCATAGCGGCGCGGGGGAGCGGCGGAGGGAAGGGGGCGGGACCACGCGACCTCCTAAATCAAAGTTGGGAGGCGAGGACTGGGCGGAGGGGGCCTCGGGGTGCGGGGCTGGGGCCCGCGGGGCGGGGGGGGCAGAATGGGGGGCGGGCGCAGAGGGCGGCGGGGGTGGCCGGACCCGGACAGCTCCACGGCTCCCTCCCTCGGCTCATCCCCGCGTCCCCACTTCCCTCCTCCCCGGACTCCGAGCAGCATCCTCTGCGGACCCTCGGTCCTCACTCCCGGGGTCGTCCCGCTCCCCTCGCTCGGTGTCGTTACCACCCTCCCCGGCCACCCCGGGAACTTTGTCCGCCTGCGCACGGGAGTGAGGGGTTGCTTCGTCCGGGCGCGTTTTTCCCGGGGTTCATTGGGTGGCAGTCTTCGCAGGAGGGCGCCAGGGTCCCAGAGAGACGCCCGCCCCCCGCAGCCTGCCCCGCAGCGGGCCGACCGTCGGGCCTCGGCATCCTCGCGGCCCCTCTCCCCCAACCATGACCGAAATGAGCGAGAAGGAGAGCGAACCGGATGACGCGGCCACCCACACCGCCCCGGGGACCGCGTCCGTCCTCCACGAAACCAAGGTAACTCGGGAGGCGCGAGGCCTGGACCCCTCCCCGTCCGAGGCGCCCCCGGGCCGGACGCCCTGCTCCGGCCTCGGTCGCCACTCCGGGCTCGGCTGCCCTGGGGTCGCAATGTCGGGGCAGGTGTGACTCTTCAGGCTCCGCGCGGGGGAGCGGGTTCGCGACGGCGGGTCCCCAGGAGCCCCCAGGCCCCACACGCACGACGCGCCCCTGGCGGCGGGGGATGAAGCAAAACGCACCCCGCGACCCCCCCGGGGAAGTGGGGCCCCCCGGCTTTTTGGAAGGAAAACGGCCGCGCCCCCCGGGGAAGAAATTTTCCCGCCCTTTTTTAGGCTTTTTCCCCCCCGGTTTTCTTG